GATGAGGGGATGTAAAGCCAGGAAGAATATGGGGGTAAGAGGAGAAAGAGGTGAAAAAGAAAACTAAGCCAGTGGAAGATAACTGTGTTTTGCTGATATTTAAAGCCTGAGGCAGTATTGGCTCTACCAAGGGAGAGGGGACAGTTCTTATAGAGAGAAACTGGGGCACTGGTACGAGGGGACTGGTGCCACTGCAACATATTTAAAAGTAAACCGAGATCACTGGGATGAGTCACCCCTACCTCGAAATAGGGCTCAGATTGATATCCCAAGTAACAATCCTATATCTTAATCTCCATTACAATAATTCCTAAGTTCCCCTTGCTTCCGTTTACATCACCCTGAGGTTTAAATCCCTGTATCTTTCCCCTGGATTCAGGTTGCTACAGGTACAGCTATGTCCAGGAGGATGACGTCCTAAGGCTGGAGGGCCCTGATTACCTGGCCTCCAGTTGTCTTTGGCACCTCCACAGCCTCAAGGGCTACATGATCAAGCTACACCTGGAGTGGACTCTCCCAGACTGCAGGGACCGCCTGGCTATGTATGACGCAGCTGGGCCCCTGGAGAAACACCTCATCACCTCGTAGGTAGCTCCTGAGCAGGGTGAGCACGGCGGGGAAGCCGGGCAGGATGGCACGACACACCACAGCAGGGGAAGGTGTTAGACTACATCAGAGGAAATTCTCTTTGATGCAGAACCTGCCTCTCGCTGATCAGCTGAAGTCACTGATGTGGGATGTCACACAGCCAGCCGTGCAGTCTGAGAGATTACAGCAGCACGAGCTGTCTCTCTGCTGGCCCTTTATTTGATTCAGTTAGTGCCTCACAGCAGGCATGTGCTGTGGATAACGTAGACCTCCATTGTCTCTCTTTCTTGTTCTTCTCTTTCGTTTGTTGCTTGTTTCACTCCCATCCCAAATCTCTTTCCCCTCAGGATCTACGGCTGCAGCCGGCAGGAGCCTGTTGTGGAAGTCCTTTCATCAGGCCCTGTCATGTCCATTGTGTGGAAGAAAGCCATGTACAGCTACTATGACCCCTTCATCCTCTCAGCGCAGGCGGTGCCCCTCAAAGGTGAGAAAGGCTGGAGGAGGAGGGGCATAGATACAGGAAGGAGACAGGTTGTCTCCTACAACATCACCACTCCTAGAGGTGTTCCATCCCCATGAGGGGCAGAATTCACTCTAGATTGCAAGGGTAGAGATGGTCAGTAAAAAGCAGGTTAGATGTTGCTTCCTCACCTGGACTCATACGTTAGCATCTGGCTCAAGTCTTTACAGTCCGGGGTCTGGCAAGCAGAGCCTGAGTGATCATGATACTTCAGGAGCAAGCCCAAGCTCTCATGCATGGACAGACCAGATGTGGCCTGGACATCACATCCAGATGCACTTGCAGATGAATGTCAATTCAATATAAGAGTCTAAAGCAGCAATATACATTACCATTACCCTTCTCTGAACAAGAGGAGGAGGCTAAAAGTCTTGCCAGGTGGAAATGGCCCTTTGAGGGGTGATGGTGGAACATCCCAGTTACCTTTAGCATCAGGTCTTAGAGCCCCTTTTCTCCCCTCCTACAATGGGATGAGTACATGGCATCCCCAGGCTGAGGTTGAGCTGACAGGTAGCAGGGCTTTGAATGTCTGCATTTACAGCCTGTGAAGTGAATATAACCCTGCGGGAAGGCCTGGAGCAGCAGGGGAAGATCGGCACTCCACACTACCCCAGTTACTACTCACCCAACACGCAGTGCACCTGGCACATGACGGTAAGAGCCAGCTCCACAAGAGCATCCACCCCGTCCCTGAAACCCACACTGCACTCCCCACATTAGGGGGGAGTACAGACAGTGGTCTCAGTCAGACCATCATGAGAAACAAGCAGAGGAAAGCTGCCTAGCCTCCACATAATGTGTGTTTCTGAAGGGGAAAGA